CATTGACGAACCGAAACGAACTATTCGCAAACAACAAGCTTTTTTTACGGCTCTACCTGTCCCAATGTTGTAGTTTTCTTTTAGCTCATTATTATTGATTCGCCACCAACAAATTTTCATCATCTGACACAAATCTCGAGACAATATTTTGAACAAAATATATTCAAATCTTGATAAAAAACCATCTAGAGCTCCAATTTCAATAAACTTATAGTCAAACTGACAGACACGATGAGAAGGATCCAATGATATCAATGTTAGTCCAATCCGAGTCAAATCAAGCCCTAATCAAGCGATTAAATCATTCTTGGAAGATTTACAGACACATTTGAAAGATCAAACGAATGTCGAATTTAGCGAGTTCATAGTCGAATCGTGCGTCTCGACAAAATAAATCCAGCGAAACCAATATTGCTCAATTCCGACATCATTAAGACACTCAAATGTCCATCAAACACCATCCAATCGAGGGAAGCTCTCTGAACCGTCCGATCAAAATGGTTCTTATTCCTGCATTAATTGCACCCATAACACTATAAATAGAGTCACACCCCTCACATGATAAAAGAAAACTTGAGAGAGAACTTGAGGCTTTGAGAAGAAACTTAAGTCCGACATTATCCATGCTATCGCATGCCGCCGTCGACCACCACCGATCACCACTGGCCTTCGTCGATTACCGCCGGCTGTCATCAACTGTCGTCAACCACCGCTAACCAGAGCAGTCAGTCGACGTTGTATCTTGAAAAATCTAGTAACCCTTCCACGTCAGTGAGACAAAGGGTTTCTGTAATCATCAACTTACAGTGAATTTTTTTTAACTGGAAAGACGCCGTAAGTTTTTTCTTTTACGGGTTTTCTACTTAAAAACTTATAGTGTCATCACATGTTGATTCACTTTCATCAGAGTGTGTGATGAATTCTCGTGCAACGCTAAGATGATAATCTATTACTCTACCGCCGTGAATTTTTTAGCACGCATCAATTATCAATTAATAATCAACACAAACAATTTGAACGCCATGGATGGCTTGCAAAACTCGAATAGAAACGCAGAGTCATTACAGAATACATAGGTATGGAAATTATAATGAAATGAAAAAATGGTATTCATTTTTCTTCATGTTATAGTTTTCCAACGAGTTTCCTACGATTATCTAACTATTTTCTGCTCATTTTATCATACGATCTAGTAGTTATAGACTCTTGGTTAATAAATCGACGAATAATTATGTAACTAACTAATGGTCTTACAATGTACTACCGATAAAATGATGGCTACTTTCATTGATCAATCAACATACGAACTAACTCTAGGCCAACTGACAAACTATTTTAATCCAACAGTTCTCCATCGACTTGAGACTATCGGTGTCTTTCTGATGGCCAGCCAGAGAATTACAAATGAATATTTTTTTGATAAGACCGTCATTTATATTACCGATAGTGACCGATGGCTTATCCACAGTTTTGCTTTTAGCAGGCACTGACAGGTATGACTCATTGATAACCCATTGGTAATTAAATTTCCTTGAAAAATTAGTATGTTACGAGATTACCGACAAGTGAATTATCTCGGACTTATAAACCATCACAAAGCCATCAAAATCTAACTAACGGTCACTTTTATACCATTTTTCAACAACATAAAATAGTCAGAAATTGACTTAATTAATATAGGGGATTGTCAACCCTTTCCCCTGTTACCTTAAAATTCAATATATTTGTATTTATGCCCGGTTCAAAATAAACGTTTAAGCCAAATTGATGTTTCCCATTCCTTAAACCTTATAGTTAAACAATTACATCCCAATCAGGTTCTGGCCAAATCAAGTTTAATCTTCAATATTTAATCAGCATTTTATTTGACATTATTATTGATTCGCCACCAACAAATTTTCATCATCTGACACAAATCTCGAGACAATATTTTGAACAAAATATATTCAAATCTTGATAAAAAACCATCTAGAGCTCCAATTTCAATAAACTTATAGTCAAACTGACAGACACGATGAGAAGGATCCAATGATATCAATGTTAGTCCAATCCGAGTCAAATCAAGCCCTAATCAAGCGATTAAATCATTCTTGGAAGATTTACAGACACATTTAAAAGATCAAACGAATGTCGAATTCAGCGATTTTGTAATTGAATCGAGCGTCTCGACAAAATGAATCCAGCGAGCCCAAGATTGCTCAATTCCGACATCATTAAGACACTCAAATGTCTATCAAACGCCATCTAATCGAGGGAAGCTCTCCGGACCGTCCGATCAAAATGGTTCATATTCCTACATTAATTACACTCAAAATACTATAAATAAAGTCCCACCCATCACATGAGGGAAGAAGGTTTGAGAAAGAATTTGAGTCTTTGAGACTGAACTTAAGTCCAACATTATCCTTATCATCGCAGACCGCCGTCGACCACCACCGATCACTACTGACCTTCATCGATTATCACCGACCATCATCAACTGTCGTCGACCACCGCTAACCAGAACCGTCAGTCGATGTTGTATCTTGGAAATTCTAGTAGCTTGCCCACGTCTGTGAGACAAAGGGTCTCTGTAATCATCAACTTATAGTGAATTTTTTTTGACTGGTTCAGACCCCGTAAGTTTTTTACTTTACAAGTTTTCCACGTAAAATGAATCATCGTGCAATGCTAAGATGATAATCCATTACTCTACCACCGTGATTTTTTTAGCAAGCATCAATTATCAATTAAAAATTAACACAAACAATCTGAATGCCATGGTTGGCTTGCAAAACTTGAATAGAAACGCAGAGTCATTACAGAATACATTATTTCTCCATGAAATGATCACAAAACAGAACCAGACTCCAAAGACAACACACAAAACACATCACCTTCCCTGCAGCTTCGAATCGAAGCTTCTTGGGGCTGCACTCTCAGAACTCAAGCCGCCGAAAACAGGGCACGAAAAGTACGAATGACTTCAGGCATCTTATCATTGTCCGGCAGCACCACCTTTGCCGCATCATGAGCGCTGAAATTCTGCGCCCAAGTTGAGAGATTGGGGAAAGTGTTATCGCTCAGAATCTGGATGCCGTCCAATTTCTGCAGTGCTCTTATCCAGGGCAAGAAGCAGCCCAGGGCTATGTCGATGAAGCCGATATCATCGCCTCCGAAGAATGGTTTGCCTTTACTTGCGGTCTCAAAAGCTTTCTCTAGTGGATGAAGAGCCGCCGCCGCTTCTGCTGCCGCTTTCTCCTTGTCCTCCTGCGCTGTTGCGGC